CGGGTTTCGTTGGCGGGTACCCGCCGGCAGGCACCCACTGGCGGGTTTCGTTGGCGGGCACCCGCCGGCGGACACCCGCTGGCGGGTACCCGCTGGCGGGTCCCCGCCGGTGGGTACCGGCGGCCGGGATGCGGTTTCGTCCATCAGTGTCGGCAATGCTTTGGTTCAACTTCGAGGAAGAAGTAGTAATGTGACTGACCCTGCACCCATGCTAGTCTTTGCGATGTGGCGACCCGCTTAAAACAAATCTACTTATAACAGTCGAACAGACCAATTGTTGCCAGAGCTCATAACTCCGTGAAATACTAGTGGTCCCGCGAAGCATGCATATATGCATATATCGTATATATCAATCTAGTTGAAGGATGGCTCGTAGAGCTGGGTCTTCTTCGCGTGTAGGGGCTTCCGGGTAAGTGGGGCTTCAAATAAGGCGTCGGCCTTGACTCACAAGATCGAACCAGGAAATGACGAGATAAACTGCCACGACGATCTGAGTCCACAGTGGTCTTCCAGCTGGATGTATACACATATATATATGTATATATATATATATATATATATATATATATATATAAGTGTTATGTATCAAACAGAAAATTACCCTTTGCAGAAAAGATTTTTCGTACAAGCCCAAACTCGGACCCAGTGAAAAGGTTAACCCTTTTGAATATTGGGCTAGAGTACTCAGCCCCTAAGTGGGTATGGGCCCAGTCTGCGGGCAGATGCAACTAATGCACGCTGACATAGCATGCCTTCCTTTGGCACGCTCAACCCCGAACCTCTAAATCCAAAAACCCTACTTCTAACAGAAGGGGTCGATCCTGAGGCCTGCGTCTGTGCATGAGGACTTTTTTGGAGTTACGTAGGCCTTTGGATCGGGCGCCCCACAGTCGACCGCTCTCAATCCTAAACCCTGAAGACTTCAGGGAACGCTTCAAGGAACCTTTCGAGTAACCTAGAATGCCCCTTCAACAAAACTTTATTATTTTAGGAATATCCCTTAAATGGTCAGAGGAAACCGTATATGATTTAAGGATTGTTCCTTAAATCAGCGGTTCTGGAGTTCTGAACTTTTCCCCTAAACCCTAAGCCCTCAACCACTAAACCCTGGATCTTAAAACCCCAAACCCTAAACCTCAAAGCCTCAATCCTTATGGAACCTTTCATTCCAGAGACTCCAATATACCTTGATTAAGGAATATACCGTAAATTGTAGTAGGATCCCTCATATGATTCAAGGAATATTCCTCAATCAAGGGATATTGGAGTCCCTGGGGTTATGTTCCCAATTATAAGTACCCTAAAAGAGTTACCCCAATCATAACCCTACTTATAACCCTACTTACTAAGTCCCCTGCCCCTCCAAGTAGACCCTAAACCCTAAACCCCCATAGATCCCTTTAAGGAACCCCCGTAGATCCCTCTAAGGAGCCTTTAAGAGCCCTTACTAAGTCCCCTGCCCGTCCAAGTTTCATTCTGCAGCATCCGACTTATAGGTCCTTAAGGGAGGGTCGTTCAAGGGGGGAGGGTACAAGGGATTAGGGATCACTAGGCTATATACCCCCCCTTGGACCCCCCTCCCTTAAGGATACTACAACCCTAAACCCTAAACCCTAAAACCTGGTCCGAGGCTCGGATCTACCACAGCTGCGCAGCGCCGTCTTGACAGCCCTGGAGGTTTGGGGAGTTTTGGGGTCCTTAAGGAGCCCCTTTAAGGGATCTATAGGGGTACTATAAGGGTTTAGGAGGTTTGCTTGGAGGATCATGGGACTTAGTAAGTGGGGTTATGAGTACCCTAATTGGGGTTATAAGTAATTATAACTGTAGTTACCTAACCCTGAACCCTAAACCCTAAACCCTAAACCGAATTATAACTGTAGTTACCTTACTTATAACCCGACTTACTAAGTCCCATGATCCTTTAAGTAGACCCTAAACCCTAAACCCTTATAGTACCCCTATAGATCCCTTAAAAGGACCCTACTAAGTCCCATGATCCTTTAAGTAGACCCTAAACCCTAAACCCTTATAGTACCCCTATAGATCCCTTAAAAGGACCCTACTAAGTCCCATGATCCTTTAAGTAGACCCTAAACCCTAAACCCTTATAGTACCCCTATAGATCCCTTAAAAGGACCCTACTAAGTCCCATGATCCCCCTTAAACCCTTATAGTACCCCTATAGATCCCTTAAAGGGACCCCTTAAGGACCCCAGTTACTAAGTCCCATGATCCTTTAAGTGGGGAGTTTTGGGGCTTCGGAGTCTAGGGTTCGGGTTCAGGGGTCAAGGAGTCTTGGGGTTAAGGGCTTTAGGGTTTCGGGGTTTGGGGTTTAGGGTTTAGGATTTAGGGGTTTAGGGTCTTGGGTTTAGGGTTTAGGGTTTAGGGCTTGAGGGTTTCGGGGTTAGGTTTAGGGCTGCGGATTCGGGGTTTAGGGTATAGGGTTAGGGTTTCAATGAAGCTTTGTTGGTTGGGAGTTCAGAAAATAGGAGGACCGCAAGCAGAAGGCTCCGAGGACTCACAGGTAAAGGCCCTTTGTCCCTAGAACACACCGAACATGCTACCTGCAACGTCCTAGTCTAATGTAGGGACCGGATTAAGAAACCCTGGCCCCATCAGCAACCCAAATAAAGGCCCAAGGTTTCTTTATCAGGTTTCTACATTAGTTTTTGCCAGGCCCCCGGAAGTACCTTATTCAGGGGCCCTGATAACCAGGAGCCTATCTTCAGGGTGTAGGGTTCCCAGAGACTCCAATATTCCTTAATTAAGGAATATACCTTAAATTATATTAGGATCCCTAATATGATTTGAGGAATATTCCTTAATTATGGGAAAATGGAGTCTCTGGGTTCAGGGCCCTCCGTTTGTGGGAACGCTAGGTGAACCTACTATATAGGGACTTCCAAGTACACTCTATCCTTTGAGTCGTTATTGGCTTCGGGGCCGCAAATGCTTGCTAACTTGGGTATCTGGACCCTTGCGGTAAGGTGGTTGATAGGACCTTACTGGTATTGGTTTTGGAGGGTTCTTGCAGTTCTTTTCTTATATGTACCTGGTTTGACAGAGTCTTCGCTGTTCGTGCTCAGGGTATAGGTTCAAGCTTGATTTACTTGAAATATCACGTGCTTCAGCAAGTAAATTTTAGTATACAGGTGCGTAAATATGCTAATTATCCAATCCTAGGGTTCGACCTCCACACTGTAATGACAAACTGCCCAGAGGCCCCACAGTAGTTCCTTTTGGGGATTACCTCATAGGATTCTATATACGAACCCCCAAAAGGAACTACTTTGGGGCCTTTGGGTCTAGACTAAGCACCTGATTCTTCGATTCGAGCACATGCCTGCCTCGGGTTCCAGGATTACCTGAGCTTTCAAAACGAGCCCGGCATTGCAAAGCCCATCATAAGATTAGGGTTTACTTGGAAGGGCAGGGGACTTAGTAAGTAGGTTGTATGTAGAGTTATAAGCACCCTAAATGGAGTTACCCCAATTATAACCCTACTTATAACCTGCTTACTAAGTCCCCTGCCCTTCCAAGTAGGGTTCAGGGCGAGGGTTCAGACTTGATGGTTCAGGGCTTAGCATTTAGGCAGGTTTCGGGTATATCCGCAGCAATGCCACAGAACGCAAGAACCTTTGTGTTTAAAGATGTGTCCTACATGAAAGCCCCGTGCAATCCCGAAGCCCTCAAACTTAAACCTGTAAACTCCAAACATTTGCACGCCAAGCTTTCGACATCTCTCGACCCTACCTGGAACGCCCCAGTTGCTCTTAATGAAGCTACACTTTCCAAAGTTGCTGAATGATCCATCACAGTGGCGCTGTTGCACCTTTTTTTCATCACTCTTGAAAGTGTTAGAGAAATGACAAAGTTCATCATTCTATACTTGAGCATGCAGTCATAGCTACTACATCAAGCAAATTACCCATGAATCAACTCGGCCAGGTCCCGATCCAATATCGATCAAGCAGGGTGGCTCTTCTTTGGTAAGACATAATAATGGGTTTGGAGAGATCCGTCTGTTCTTGGGACGGAAGGTCTGGATGTAAGGAGGCTTTACATGAGACTTGTGCGTTTCTCGGCAAGCTTCACTGATACTGGACGTATCTAGATTTGCAAGTGCCCGTGCACCAGCACTCTTTTTGCGACGACGCCAATGGCTCTGCGCTGCGGGCCGAGCTTTACCTTAGAGGACCGGTCCAGTGTGGCTGCAGCATCGAGTGCAACCAGACCGTAGTGACGCACATACATATATACATAAAAATAAGATTCAATACGTGTACATACAATCACACCTACATACATCTATACCTGTAGGTACATATAGGTATATATATATATATATATATATACATATACAATTAAACCAACGCACAGATGCACGTGTACATACATATGTACATATATGTACATTCGTACATGCATATGCATATACATATACATACATACGTACATGCCTACATGAATAACTGAGTATACATATACACGCCACATGCATACAGGTGTAGTCATCCACATGCACACATACAGACATATACATAAAAGGGAACATACATGGGTACACATGCATACATGCAGCTCCTTCCTTTATCCCCGTGCCACTAATGTAATATTAATGTAATATCCTACATACGTGTTTGTCGGCTAGGTGGTTTAAGTGGTTCTTTGCTTGCTTGTGTTTGCTTGGGTGCGATCACGGTTCAGCTGTAAAGTGTGTGTGGGGAAAGATTTTTGTGAAATGTCCCGGACTCCCGGTCGGTAGATACTTCAAGTATGTCATGTAATCGTGTGAATGCACATGTGCAGGATGTGGTGGCGTGGTGATGGCGTTTTCCTCGAAGCCGTTCTGGTACCACCCTGCTCGCTTAAGCAGGGCATGTGCATCGGCCGAGAGCAATGTTGACTGATCTAGCTTGCGGGTGTGAGAATGCAGAATCAGAATTGTGCTTGTTTCGGCAGCATTTTGGTCTGGACGGGTGCAGTGTGCGGTAGTCGCAATGGCTCCCAACCTGCACGAACTTTTTGAAAAGGTAAAGTTGATCAGGAAGCGCCTCAAGCTGAAGGGTCGCCTCGTAGACTTCCCTCCAGGCCGGCATGATGAGGATGAGGAGGAGGAGAATCCGATAAGTACGAAGTCCATGGCTATGAATGTCCCAGCCCTCACGGTGATGTTTGAGTTCTACCGGAAGACGAGTGGTAAGCAGGTCCCCGTTCAAAAGTTTGAGGCCCAGGCCACTTGCCTGTTAAAGTCAGATGCTGGTTTTGGTCCCCCTTTAAATATTTAGGAATCGACAGCTCCAGCCGTCTTGCAAAGCGAGGTGAAACTCCTTTACGAGAATGTGGGCATCGAGCCGAAGATTGGGAGCCGACAGTACTACTCGGATGCCTGGGACCTGAGACGACTTTACTCGTTCAGCCTCCGAAGGCAGAAAGACGCAGAGAAGCGCGGCCAGCGGCCGCGGGTTTCTTCGGATCGGTTTATATTCTCATTGTGTTTGTACTGTGCGAGGGTTCGTTGAACTTTATCAGAGGTTTGCATTTCTAAGGCGATCGGTGTACGGAAGCTGTTTGAAGTCATAAAGTCCATTCGGGACGAGCAGGGCCAGGATAGCGTCTCCAACGAGGAAGAGGGTGAAGAAGAGGAAGAATTTGAAGACGACGATGCCGTGGATGCCGAATCGGACTATGAGTCTGCAGAGGCGGAGTCCGTGAAGCCGGATGCTTCTAAGGGCCCGAGTGCAGTTGTGCCCAAGATGTCCGAGGAGGACGACGGTTTGGGCGTTGGCGACATGCCGTTGGATTCCCAGGAGGATACACAGGTTCCCAAATTCCGGCGCAGATCGAAAAGCTCCTTGGCAAGCTTGCCAAGCACACTTGTGCTTGGCAAGACCCCGGCCAATGTGGAGACGCCCGCCTCCTACAAGGATGCGGTTTCTGCTGATAAAGAGGCAGAGCTTGCCAGGTTGTTGCAGGAGATAGATCTGCAAGAATCCGTCGGGAGCACGGGTGTGGATCCTCACAAGGCCCTCTTGGTCATGATGGGTACCCCAGAGCGAGCTTCAGAAGCTTCGAAAGGCCCGATTGTTGAATCTAGTGCAGCCCCAAACCCTGCAAGCCATTCCAAGCTCCCCATGCAGTTGTAGCAGGCAGCATCGTGGCAACACCCGAATGCAAGAGGAAGCTGGACTTCGGGCCGGCTTGGGAGCACCCTCCCGACCAGGCTGGAGCTAGTAGTCAATGAAGGCATAGAAAAATCTATAGTTATGTTATATATATATATATATGTAAGTTTGCTGATCCCAGCTAAGAAGATGAAGTATAAGTATGGCAATCCACATAATTGTACATTACATCATAACTGGCTTATTAAAGCGATATGACTGACTAACTAACTATACCTATAGTGTACTTTAAACAACTATAGCCAGCTAGCTAGATCACACAAAAAAAGGTTATAGCTCAATAACTATGGCTAGCTAGCTAACTATAGATAGGCAACTATATAGCTATCTAAAAGCACGACTAACTATAACTATAACTATAACAACTTATATATAACTAAAAAGCTATATACTTACTCACTCACAATTCTACCTTACCTAATTAATTACTTATTATTAAGAAACTAGCTAGCTAACTGATTGACTGACTTTAATAACATATTCACACCTACAACTAGAACCATAGCAAACTGAAGGTACTACAGCTATAACTAATTCACGAATGATCACTAACTCACTAACTAGAACTATAAAGAAATCAAACTATAATTACCTAGCCAACGATAACTGCAGATTTTTGCTAAGATCGAATCGACCACACAACCAAGCAGCTATGTGATTGGCCGACTGGCTGACTGACCGACACTAAGACGGCATATTATTCCACCGCTAGCTATAAGCATGGGGGTTTTCATTGAAAAGGCAAAATACCCCGTTACGAATTAATCCCACAACTAGCTGAATTACAGGTGTAATTGTTTCATGTATATGCCAAGAAAACGCATATGCACACAGTAAGCTTATAGCATACATAGACACATGTACATCTCACACGTATCCACACAGAGACTTGTGTCATGTATTAGGCATCCATGATGTCACAGTCACTACAAACATGAACAGATGTGTCACATGTGTCGACAGCCTGCAGGTGTATTCATGTGCACACAAATAGACGTGTGTTTGCAGATTGTGTGTGGAGTGAGACAGTCCGTGAGTAGATGTGAACTTCTACCAAGGTTTGTGTGAACACATATATACTCGCTTTGTTTATCTGGGTTGGGTGTGCGATTGTCAAAACATTCATTGTGACAGTGCGAGCTGAGACAATTCGATTGTTTTGGCATGGCAGGAAGATACGCTGGTGCCGGGTCATGATGGTACGAACGGGGCTCCTGCAGTGCATGATGATGGTACGGACAGGGCTTCGGCAGCGATCGAGGTGGAGTCGAGCCCCGAGAAGATCAAAGCGGAACGGGTTCAGCTCGTGGCAAATCTAAGTTCGGTAGACTATGTTAATTAATTGTGGGTTATCTCTTGTGTGGTGTGTTTGGTTTTGTTGGGGTTCGGTGCAGGAGCCAACGTCTCCGAAGTCACCGAAGGAGACGTTGGTAGTGCCGGTGTCCCTCGATGCCCAGAACCAGCTTCGCTCGAAACTCCGTGAGAAGTTTCGCCGAAAACGCAAGTCGAAGAGCAGGGCTAATTTGGACAAGGTGTCGAAGGGGGCCAAGCGCCGCAAGAGGAGCTCCAAGGACGCCTTGGAAGATGATGAGTTGCCGGCGAATGGGTCTTCCGTGTCATCCAGCCGGACGACCAAGGGCAAGCGCAAGATCGGCACTTCCGATGCAGATGCCGATCCTTTGCCAAAGGCAAAGGCAAAGGCGAAAGCAAAGGCGAAAGCCAAGGCGACAGCCAAGGCGACAGCAAAGGTGAAAGCGAAGGCGCCGAAAGCGAAAGCGGCGCCGAAAGCGAAAGCGAAAGGCAAGGCAAAGGCCAAGGCGACAGCAAAGAAGACAGCGAAGAAGGACGACGATGAGACGCCTCGGCTGAGGTTGCTGCCGGATCGGAGTCGCAGCGGCTACAGCAGTTGCGGCAAATTGCTGCTTGGCTGCTCGAGCTGCCGATGGTCGTGCCTAGGGTGCGGGACATGTCTTCGCACAAACTTCCACGGAACTCGGTGGAACAAGGTGGCATGCCCGGAGTGAAAGTGAAAGTCCTTTATCAGACTAATTAGTATGGCCGTTCATCTTGCATGTTCCTGTGGCATGCTATGAAATCATGCATACATCCGGAAATCTTTCCGCTGGCATGCTGCACTTTCGATCGAGCTATGAAGCCTTTCTAGGGGCTGCTTCTTGATTTCCGTAGCTGCAAAATCAGCTACCAGGTGTTTTGGCATCACTTCTGTGATGCTCTTGGGTGAAGCCTTCATGGGGCACGGGTAGGGACGTGTGCTGTCGTGGTATGTGAGGATATCTACACACATAAGGTGTTCTAGTAAACGGGGCCTCGCTAGATAGTTCTGTGTTGCAGCATTGTCCATTAGAACCTGTGCTGTAGATCTGGAGGCTTTATTAGGTACTAGCTGGGGATAGGCTGAGTCGTGCAATTTGCTTCGCAGTCTGCAACAGGAGCAGAAAAAATGAGCTTGCCACAATGTCAGTGCCTGTGATATCTTTCAAGTGTCGATGTAAACTAGATGTGCACTGTCAGCTTCTGCCGACACAGATCCCCTCTTTGATTCGATTAGCATCATGCTAGCCTACTCCACATTTATTTAGCCTCTTCCGAACCTTGTATAAACCTCTTTAAAGCCAATATTATATGAACTGCCAAGAAATCCGAAAAAATAATTCAGAACCCTTTAAGCTGCCCTTGCCAGGATCCCACTGGGTGTGCTGGATGAGTACTTCCTGGAAAGCGCGGCACAGGTTCGCCCCGCCAAAGGGCAGTGAAGGTTCGCCCACAGCCCCTGCAGGGATTTGTGCAGTCTGGATTGGTAAGTACAGTCATGCTCAAACATGGCCGTACACGTGCAACTGCATTGAAGCTCGAAGTAGTGTTGCCCTGCTTTACAGGGTCTTGACTGGCCCATGACACCGTGTGAGCTCGATAGCCTCCTCCAACGGCTCTTCGCTGTGAATGGGCCAGGGGTGCCTAGGTGAGATTTGGGCACAACGCTAGAAGCACAGTTCACAATCAAGGTGCCCCAGAATGTTGGCATTGCCTGGGCCTAGTTAAGGTGCTACTGTGTGCCGTCGTACTCCTCGTGTACAACACTGCGGTTGATGTGGACCAGGCAGGACAAAACCGATCATGCTAAACTAGCACCACAACCACATTCCTCGGCAGGTCTACGATGCCCTGGAAGTCTTCGCTGGAGTGGCTTCACTCTCCAAATGTTTGGGGTTGGCTGGCTACCGTGTGGCTGCCCTGGAACTGAAATTCTGGGATGACTATCAAACTACAGGGCTGGGGTGCTCCAAAGCTGTGCGGAACCCAATGGACATATGCACTCCTGCAGGGATGGCGCTTCTGGGCTTCAGTGTACTCTATTTTTTATTCTGTGCATCCTCAAGTATTTGGTAGTGAACCACACGACCGTGCAGTTGTGTGGGAAGACCCAAACATATCCCGAAATACAGCCGAGGGGAATAACAAAGAGCATACATGTAGGTAGGGTTCGGGCCAGATGGTGTCATGCGTGATTTATTCATTTGATCTAGTTAAAGGCCCTAATGAAGTCTCTGCAATCTTTCTGGGACCCGAACAAACCCTGGAATCGTTCTGCAACACAAGCGACAACAAACACCCTGAACCAACCGAGGCTGTTACTTCTGAGCATCCTGAAGGCCAAAGACGGGAAGTTTGTCGTATCTCTGGGGATGGAATGTTCCAGCTGGGTTGCTATTTCCAGGCATTCCACCAAACGATCCTTTTTCAACCCACTCGGAGACCGAAGCTGCAAAAAAGTGGAGGATTCAAACATTCTTTGCCTAACATTGCGCACGCTTGAGAGGTAGTAGGGGCCTTGGGGATGGGTTCTGTAGGGTTATATGAAATAGCCGGGTTTATAGTGATGATCGGGTTTTCCGGCTCGTGTGTGTTTCATCTCTGCACACAGTAGACATGCTGGCTTGTGCGAAGGATGTGCCTGGCTATATACCTCGTGCTCGCCAAAGCTGGAACATGGGTGCTGGAGCAACCTGCATCCTCGATGATTTGGAAGCACCCACGCATGCAAGAGCTCCTGAAGGTAACCAGAGTGCCTCGACAAAGACCCCTGAAAGTCTGAAATACCCGGCTTTGCTATTATAACAATCTGGATTGGTTTAATTCTTCTTATACTTGAGAATGGAGCCCTTCCCGGGTATTGTTCGTGGAGGGAGTCTGTGAGCACTTTCTAGCATCTCTGACCGTTTATGTAAAGCATACACAGCCGAAAATGGCATCCTCCGGCCCCGAGACCTTATAAGGCCTACGTGAACCCTATAAAACCCGCCCTAAACCTTGTGTGTATAAACCCTGTAGAAACCTTGTGCCTTTCGGGCTAGTATAGTTTTCATCAACCCGATAATGATTGATTGAGCTCCCTGATGAGAGAATACTGCAAAGCCGTAGAAAAGTGTGTAGAAAGCCAATAGTCATCCTCCAAAACTATAGGCAATGAACTTCCTCGGTACAGTATTCCTGCAAAGCCCCTGTCAAAACTTCCCAACATCCCCAAATCCGAGAGTTCTCTAGTGACATTGTGCACCACGACCACAGTATTTGCTGTCTGGTTTCGGGTGCTCCTAAACTTGATTAAATAATTATATAGGTAACCCAATAAGTTTCTAATGATATGTGTATGTATACATATATTATAATCCTTATAATCCCGAACACCCGGTGCTGGATACCCCGGCAAATCATGTTTGGGTTTTGCACAGCCCGAGAAAAAAACTATAGTAAGTCCTGATCCTTTCTATATATGTATATATGTCTATTGATATATATATATATATATATATATATATATATACATATATATATATATATATACATATATATATATATATATATATATATCCGATACATGTGTATGTATATATATATACATACATATATCCCTTAGCCGAACTATAAAGTTCTGTAGCCCATCCTCATTCCAAACCCTGAACATCATTATCTCATCAGCGGCCCTATTCTGTCTAAAGTAACGATCTAGGACAGTCAATATGTGTAGGTCTGATAATCAAGCTGTGTGCAAGGCTTTCCGAGCTGGATTCTGGATGTGCCGCTTTGGTGCCAAGACACCAAAGAGGACTCGATTGTGGTCGAACAGCAGAGGGATAGGCGCATTCCTCGATGCACGGCCCCTCTCTAAAAGGGAAAAAGCCAGGCTTGTGAAGACTTCATTGGTTGAAAGGCACGTGGACCCCAAAACAGGGGTGAGGCGATTCACCGGGAAACGGAAGCTGCTGAAAGACTCCGGGTGCCTCCACCGTATTTAGAGCGACACTGTTGTGAATTCCTGAGGCATGCATACAGTGTGTGTGGGCTGCATTGGATTCATGCTGCTGTCAACCTTAAGGCAATACCCGTTTCCTTTCGGGCTACGGTTTGTGCGGGCATTTCCGCGACTGCTTTCTGAACGAGCTCCCCCACACTCCCAGGAGACTCCTCTGCATTACAATAGCACTCTGAAGCCCCTGCAACACCCTTGAAGCTAGCCCCAGCTCTGTCAGGCCCAACAAATGGATCAGACCTTCGACCCCAAGGTGGCTTTCGCCGACAAGAGGCTGTATGCAGACTTGCGGGCTGACGCCCGGATGACTGAAGTGATAGCATACCTCCGAGGGGCCAAGAATCTGGCACTACCGGAGGATTGGAAGCATGTGTTCCCCACAAGTTTGCCTCCTCCTTAGCTCCATGGACAATGTCCCGGTGGCCCTAAATGCATGAACTAGAGGAATGTCTGTAGCTGCCAGGGCAAACTTGCTCATCCTGCTGTTGTAAGAACAACAGCTGCTGTTCTGGAAGTGATCCTTTCCAAGGCCCATGCTGGTGATGTGGGGAATGGGTTTTATATAGGCTTCTGAGCTTATGTAATTTTAACAGTTGAGTGTTTGTGGGCTGGTTTTGGACGAAACCCAGAAAGGATACACAGTGACGATTAAAACGTACGGTGGCGTACGTATGGCGAAAAGTGGCGTACAAAAGCGTACTGTCCGTACCCATATTCGTGCCACTTTGGTTTGTACGATTTACACTATGCTAGCCCAGAAAACATCGAACCCAGCCTGGACGCAGTGCCACTTGATCTATGTAGGGTGGGTCTTTCGAGGCTCGAAGGCAGTTTTGTTGGGGGTGAGGCCTCCTAATGGCCTCCTCCGAAGCTCCAGCCCCGCTTCTGTCGCAGCAGTGGTCTTGCAGCAGCCTCCTGGAAGGGCAAGCATACATGGCTACCCAGAAATTCCAGCTGGAGAGTTCTCTTAGTATTGACGAGAAGTTGGAAGCTTCCTGGTTGATGAAGATTGCTGTCGGGGTCGTTCGGTGTTATCTAACCAAATACACAGATAAAGCCCCTAAACACAAACCCTATAAGGCCAAACAACATGGCTTGTTCAGGCTGCAAGGCAGCGGTTGCAGATGCTTCGTGTGGCGCGACCGGAGCCTCCGCCGACTCCACCCCCAGCGGCTAGCCCTAGGTCTACAAAGCGCTCACCCAAGAAGCCCAAGTCAGCAGAACAGCTGAATCCAGACGAGAACACAAGCAAGCCAGCTGAGTGCAGTCCAGACAAGAAGACAAGCACCCCAGCAGAGAACAGTCCAAACAGGAAGACGGGCACCTGAGGACAAGCAGACGGGCACACCAGCAGAGGACAAGCAGACGGGCACACCAGCAAAGGACAAGCAGACGGGCACACCAGCAAAGGACAAGCAGACGGGCACACCAGCAAAGGACAAGCAGACGGGCACACCAGCAAAGGACAAGCAGACGGGCACACCAGCAAAGGACAAGCAGACGGGCACACCAGCAAAGCACAGTCCAAACAAGAAGACGTGCCCAGCAAAAACCAAGAAATCCACACCCAAGGCGACCAGCAGTCCATCCGACAAGAGCCGTGCATCCGACTCAACAGGCCCAGCGCCATCCGCAACAACTTCGGCGCAGTCTGATACCTCCGCACGGAAATCGATTAAGCAGGAGCCGGAAACCCCGAGCAAGGCCTCCGAACCAACTGCTGCTGATGATCCCTACGAGGACCCACTATCATCCTTGAATATGTTAAAGGTCGTCATCCCCTCAATCTCCTGCTCGTAGAATCGTAGCTGCGACATCGAAGCTGACTCCGCATCAGCAGTACCTTGGCTCAGTTTGCCGCAGGAAGCCAGCGAGACGGATGACAAGGATGCCAGCTTGAAGAAGTCTCTCCAGGCTTTGCTTAGGGGTTTTACAGGGTTTTAGGGATACATGCCTATATGCACATCGTTCCTGCACATGCAGCAGTCGTGTGTCCTGCCACAAAGCTTCGCTGCACATGTGAGTCAAGCCGCCGTCGTCTGTCCTACTTTTGCAAAGCATATGCAATCTGCTTGAACGTCCTTTTTCAGACACCCCATTACCCAATGCTGTCTCCGAAAGCTGAAGCCCACCACTTTAATGCATTCTCCAAGAAGTCGTGTCATCTGCCGCATCTGCCGCATCTGCCGCATCTGCCACACCGAAGGCTGCCAGCAAGCCGAAGCCGGCGGCCTCCGACAAGGATTTGGAGATTGGCAACGGCAAGGCGGGATTGGTCTTCTTCGGAATGATAATCCTAAGCTGTTGCATGGCGGCCACAATTAAGTTAGTGTGGTCTGTTTGTGCTGTTGCTTTTGTTGGGGTTCTTGGTGTGCCTCTCTCTCTCCCTCTCACTCTCACACTCTCTCACTCTCACACTCTCACTCTCTCTCTCTCTCTCTCTCTATCTCTCTCTCTCTCTCTCTCTCTCTCTCTCTCTCTCTCTCTCTCTCTCTCTCTCTCTCTCTCTCTCTCTCTCTCTCTCTCTCTCTCTCTCTCTCTCTCTCTCTCTCTCTCTCTTCTCTCTCTCTCTCTCTCCTAGTCTCTCTCTCTCTCTCTCTCTCTCTCTCTCCCTCTCTCTCCCCTCTCTCTCTCTCTCTCTCTCTCTCTCTCTCTCTCTCTCTCTCTCTCTCTCTCTCTCTCTCTCTCTCTCTCTCTCTCTCTCTCTCTCTCTCCTCTCTCTCTCTCTCTCTCTCTCTCTCTCTCTCTCTCTCTCTCTCTCTCTCTCTCTCTCTCTCTCTCTCTCTCTCTCTCTCTCTCTCTCCACGTTTCTGCTTCTCCCAATCCATCTCCCAACCGATGCCAATCTATCCCTCTTGTTCCTCTGCTTTTCTAGGTCATGTATGGTCTGCCGCACCGGACTGTTTGGGCTTCGCTATATATATACATATATTTTTATATACACATATATATATATATGTATATACACATACATATATATATATAGATATATATACATACGTTTGTCTATGCATACACACACACATATATATATATATATATATATACACATCCGCACATATATACATATATGTATACACATGTATGCATCTAGGTATGTATGTACCTTTGTATGTATTATATGCATCTATGTATCTATGTGTCTCTATATGTACGTCTGTCTGTCTGTCTGTATGTATGTATGTGCATGCACGTATGTATTCCAGTGTCACGTGTATGTTTGTATGTATGTGTATGTATGTATGCATGTATGTCTGTATGTATGCTTGCATGTATGTATGTATGTGTTCGTGTGTATATGCATTCACGCAGGCATGTTTCTACTTATACATGTACAAATATTGGTGGCTGGGTGTTTTTTGATGGACAGATCGCTCACATCTCTCTCATTCTCTCTCTCTCTCTCTCTCTCTCTCTCTCTCTCTCTCTCTCTCTCTCTCTCTCTCTCTCTCTCTCTCTCTCTCTCTCTCTCTCTCTCTCTCTCTCTCTCTCTCTCTCTCGCTTTCGATCTCCATCCCTCCTACATTCTTCGTCGTGGATGCAATAAAATGATATGGTTCGCTTTATCATGATTTACATGAAACATCGTGGTGTTTTTGCACTTCAGGACTGTAGCAAAGCTTGGAGGAGAGCAGAGGCGAAGGTTCGTCGTTTGGTGAAGCCAACCTCTCGTTCCAAGACGGTGGCTTCTTCACCGGACATTGTGTCCAGATGGGATGCCGGGGGGGATTTGAGGAATGACCTTATCCGGACAATGATTCAGTGCGAGGGGCAGAAGGACAGTTAGGGTGTTATTCTCGGGGGTTTCCTAATGAGCTATGATCAATTAATATTTTCGATGGCTTGCTTTGGCAACCCCGCAGGACGTCTGGAAGCGCACTGTGGAGATTCAGATCATCAAGAGTAAGTCTAATGAGCTAACGATTGTGTGCGGTTGGTACAGCAAAGAGAAGATGCGATCGCAATTGAAGTTCAGTCCGTCGGGGCCCTTCTTTGCTTTGTTACAAATATGGTCTGATACCGGTTTGTGGGGTTTTGGGTAGACGGGTACATCACCTAGGCAGAGGATCAAGAAAGTCATCAAGTTTTGCACCCACCCGAAGCGCATGAAGACCCACACCAGGCTTGCAGGGTTCTCCTATGTTAAGTTATATAAGGCCCGAAAACCGGTACCCCACGCATGCCCCGTCCAGGCGGGATAAGTACGAGAAAGAGAAAATCGAGTATTGGGTGGAGGAGGAGACAAAGGGGAGCTACAAGGTCACTTCATCAGAAGCATGGAATGACAAACGGGAGATCGATGCCACCGAGGGACTGGATCTCGATGAGGAGAGGAGCCAGGCCGAAGGCACGGATGATGAAGACAGTGAACATGATGATGAGGACAGTGCTTCATCCTCCTCACATGAGTCGGGTTCAACACCCTGCAAGAAGAGAAAGCGAGCATCAAGCAAGAAATCGAAGAAGTCAAAGAAAAGCAAGAAGGAGAAGAAGGCAAAGAAGAGCAAGAGCAAGAGCAAGAGATGCAAGAGTTCGGCTTCTTCCAAAGGGAGCCCAAAGAAAGAAGACCTCGACGAGGAGACCAGAACCGAGGCCACATCTGGGAAACTCATACTCCCTTCGTACCCACTGCTTGTCCCAGCCTCCAAGGCGATCGACAACGCTACGGAGGTGATGCAGCAGCTCCTTCGTGTGCAGGCAAAGGTGGAAGTTTGTGCGGGAAAGCTAGAGAAGCTTTCGGGGCCAAAGGCGGAGGCGTGTTTTGGCTGCAGGGTTTTTGGTGCTCAGTTGTTGTATGCCTTGGGTCGTGGGGTCGTGACACACTGCTATGTTCAACCGAGGTCTTTGAAGACCGTTCACGATTATGCTACCCAGCTGTCGGAGTATCATGACAAGTTGGCCGACATCCGGGCATCCCATGCTGGAAGCAAGAAGTCCTTTTGTGACAAGCCACTTGCATCAACTACTTTAGGGTATTGTTTTCGTGCAAAACCCATGAAACCGATGATCACTGATGTGTCTTGTGGCCACTTCTAGGTCGCTCGCGCAGCTGCAGCAGATCGTTGTGGATGCCGGGAAGATGCCAAGCCCTTAAAGTAAATAATGCATTCGGCCCTGAAAGTCTAAGTCCCACAAGCCCTAGAGTCCCCAGGTGTGCCAGGTTTCACATGGAAGACAACAAGCTCAAGAGGATCGCTGCACACATGCTGCCCTTTGGTGCTACTCACGTCTTGATGATAATAGTTTGCTTCTTGTCATGTTTGTCACAACAAAGTCAAAACCTATAGTGCTGCTACTGCGATTGCGGCTGTTGCTGCTGCTGCTACTAATGCTACGTTGGTGGTGCTGGCAATGCTGTTTGTCCTTGTGCTATTGACCGACTATGTCGCCGACTACTACTACAGTATGCCAGTTGGAAGTCCTGCTAGTAGTAGCAGCAGCGGTAGTAGTCGTAATGGTAATACTAGTCGTCGTACTAGTAGCAACGTAGAGTCGTCGTAGTAGTAGTCGTCGTTGTCCTCGTCGTCGTAGCAGAATAGAAGTCGTACTCTTATTTTAGCAGTAGTATTAGTGGTACTAGCAGTACGAGCAGTAGTAGTAGTAGCAGCAGTAGTAGTAGTAGTAGCGCATACAAGAATAACATGTTTTACTACTTCTACTTCGATCACTCCTACTATATATGACCACGACGACGACTGCTACTTCTACTACTTGTCCCATAATTACTCCCACTTCTACCTTAACCCCGGTACAAACCCTAAATCCTCAAGCCTTACACACCTTATAAGCCCATGTACTCTAAGCCCATGTACATGATTTACAACCCCACACACTCGACGCCAAATCTCTGACCCTAAAGTCCCGCACTGGAAACGCATGAACCCCAAAGCCCCAAAGCCAAACGAGCTGCCCGTTGCAGTCCTTTCGGGACCTGGCCAAATCGTTTTCCTGGGAGGCTTTAATTAATGAAAGTGTTATTTGGGGTATAGGGTTAGTGTAGTTCGAGTGATTGAATTTGTCCTGAGTTCTGTGGGTCCCTAATTGGAATCAGGGATGAGGCTTTAATGTGTGCTTTCGACTACCTTGCCTAATACCCCGACCATATGTGAACCATGCTGTAGAGACATACCCCAATGCATATTCATCATATAGCACCGAAACAACTTAAACCATTACCTGATCCACTTCTTTGTCCCAGTACTTCCCTTTCCCAGCAATAGTCGTCATCGCTTTAGTTAGCAGCGGTGCTGTATCGAACGATTCCAGAAGTTCACATAAATCATGTTTTCTTGGATGGGCGATCTCCCTGAGACTATCCAATGACTGTGTTGCAATCAGTACAAGTACTCGACCACCATGCGTGCAGGACTTTGCTGAAAAAGGCCAAGTCCGATGGGGCTCTCGGTGCCACTGCTGAGCCCAAGTCTCATGCTAAGCCCAAGAAAGGCAAAGGCAAGAACAAGAACGGCCGACCGGCTGTTGCTAGCAAGACCAAGAGCAAGCGAAGCAAGTAAGTGTTGGTAGGACCCGTGCTCCATACCCCTAGTGTTATATGTGTATACATGTACTGGATTGCAACCTCAACTCCGAAAGATAGTCTTCGCACAACCCGTGGTCACATGTTTTGCACCTCCTGCAGTGCTCTCTGTGAGAGTTTTTTCTCACGTTTCACTGCCATAGGGTCTACAGTTGGAGCTATGCTGCAATATGAACATTTGTACTGTAGAGAGCTGTGTGGGGTATACCATTCAAGTAGGACGGTGTTGCTGCTCCGAGAGGATGATCCTTCTTTTCGCTCCCAGTTGTCATTACGGCTGGGTTGGTCAGTTCCCTTAGAGCAGTGCTTCGCACACAAAAAAAGCTCGAAAGATCGGAAAGAACCGTTCATGCTGTAGACTCAGTAGATGAACTGTTTATATACAGCCAAGAAGCCGCACGCAGGCCCTAGTGCGAAGCGCCAACGACGAGCTGGTCCTGTGGCCCATGCGATTGCACAGACTGTGGCAGCTGGTGCTTGTTGGTCGAAATGGAGCACCGCTTGCAAATTTTCTTTGTCGTGACCAATCTTATACTGCAACGTACTGTTGTATTTCCACTGCTGCTTGGCTTCGATCACTGTACGAGTCATTCTAGTGTCTTTGTAAACATTCCTGAGGTTAGCGAGGCACACGCTTGCAAAATCGCAGAAGCTATGCATCGAGAGCTGCAGGACCACCCGCTTATCGAGTCCTCCAGCTTTATTTCGCGGCTCCAAAATCTTCATACCACTGGGCATGACAACCGGATGCCCAATGTTTTAAAAGATTATGGTTTGCAAGCAGATATTCCTACGACGCTTGTTCCGATTGGCCTCAAGCATCCACACCCTGTGCTGCGACTACGAGATGCAGTGGAAACTTTCGATAAGGCTGGCAAAATACACCATTTGTTTGCAGGGAATGGACCCACACAGTTGAAGGAATTCTGGTGCAAACTGCGAAAGCAACACCCTGGCTACGATGTGTTCGCCACCCATGGCGATAAGCTACATGCATGCTTGCCCATGATGCTACACCTGGACGAGGGTACAAGCCACAAGAAAAAAGGCATTATGGTGTTGTCGGCACAGATAGTGTGTGGAAAGGGTTCCCGTCGAAATGTGGGCCATAATTTCCTTGGCTCGACATATCTATCGCGACTGCTCTTTTCTGCATTGTTGGCGAGGACCTACACCAAGAAAAAATCGATACTGTATTCTCTTTTCGAGGAATGGACTCGAGACTTGGAGGACTGCTATCGAAACGGTATCAAGATTTCTGGTGTTCCTGGAACCAACAATCTGTATCCTGTGGTGCTGGCCTGCAAGGGCGACTGGCCTGCACTTACGAAGGCAGGTCGTTTGCTCCGGCATCACCTACGGGATGCTCCAGCAGCCGAGTTCCCGCCTGGAATTTGTCATCTTTGTCGAGCCGGCCAGGCCGGCTACCCTTGGAATGCATTCGAGTCCAACTCGGCATGGATGCATGGGGACAACCCTCTTCCCTGGACTACGCCTTCTCCTTTGTCAAGGCTTGCTCAAGACAAGCTGAATCCAGCGAGCTTCTTTGCGATTGACACATTCCACGTTTGCCACAAAGGTGTGGTTGCTGACTATGTTGCTTCGGCTGCTGAACCCTAGCCGAAAATAGAAATAGTTTAATACGTTTCATGAAGGTTCATATATGGTCATAGCTTCTTCGGATATTTTCCCTTGGTTTTCTTAAGCCCAGGCAACGCTGTCAGATTATCAGCTACTGGGAGATTCGAAGGACTTCACGAAACACATGCAGGTTTGTTACGAGGAGGCCCGCAACTGGTGTGCTGAACATCACGAATATCTTCACATGACTGGGTTGACAAAGGATATTCTGGGTCTGGATACGATGGCCGACTATCCAGTCGGGTGTCTATGCATGTTTCAGTCTTGTTTCGTATAATGATTATTGTGGTAGGGGCAGTGTTTACATTGGGCTGTCGTGGTCGAGTGTAACCTTATGCAGCATCAACTAAAGGAAGGGTATAATTCTTTTTTTAGGAAACTTCTCCGGGGTGGTTTCGGTCTTGTTTATAGTTTTTTCAATCAAGGCGCTGGTTCAAAGGCGCGGACACGCCTCTGCTGGCCAAGTTTCTTGAATACAAGTACGAACGTGTTTTGGCCGACTGCTGCGATGCTGAGGAACCTGTTTTCCGGGTCATATATAATGGACTACAAGACATCAACAACTTTATGAGGTCCATCTACTCGCTGCCTTTATGGATTGAGCCGAACAAAGCAAAGGACGTTGGCCAGATGGGCCTTAGGTTCATGCGAGCCCTCAACCAGGCAGCCAAGCAAGCCCTCGACTTGCAGAGACCCAGATTTAAAATCCAGCCGAAGCTTCACTTATTTGCACACTTGGTGAACGGTATGATTCTGGACTCGCAATCCGGGGCCCAAAGCCTCAATATTTTGGCATACAGCTGCCAATTGGACGAGGACTTTATTGGAAAGATATCAACACAGAGCAGGCATGTGTCCATTAGAAGTGTACATAGCCGTACGATCCAACGGTACTGCCTGAACCTCGCACTCAAGTGGTAAAACGATCGGTCCTCGCAGGCTTTCGTAGTCGCGAGCAGAAGCAGCCCAGGCGTCGTTCGGATTAGCAAGGCTATGTGGGATTCTGCTTGTCTTTTGTCACAAAGGGCTAGGGTCAGGGTCTTCATTTAAGGACTTCATTGGCAGTTGTACTCTGCTTCACCGGTGTATGGCTATAACTGGCTATAACCTCAAGCAGACCTATACTTATGATTTCTGGACAAACACCAAGAATCTGCCACTTTAAGCCAGTGGCGGAAACCCCGGTCACTGTGACCTGTTGCGCTTAATGAAGGTACACCAGGCTTTCCAGGTAGATCCTACTTGAACCTGAACACAGAATTGTCCTGAGGGCTTCAAAGAACTCGAAGGGGATGCGCTGCAGCACGCAGCCCTGAGAGCGCTTTGGCAATGTACGGGTTAAGGTAAAGGTCGCGTGTATTCAGGCTTGGGCGCTTCATGTTGCTACAGTCTTGGATTATTTCTTTCGAACTGCGGCTAAAAGGTTTAGGGGGTTTCCTCAGGTTTTGAGGGCTTTAACCTTCAACGGCTTTAAGCACGATGGATTTCTGGATCAGGGGTCTACATGAAGAGTCTTAGGGTGCTGGGCATTCGATATTGAGGTTAGGAGTGAAGCTTTCAGATTCGACATGTTCATTACCAAGAGTCTTCACAAGAAAGAAGGCACCTTTAGGTATCACATACCAGTGATTGCTATCTTTTGAAGATTTTCTAGTTTCTGCGGCTAGGCGTTAAAAGCTCAAAGGCATGTGCAAGGGGCTTCCGGTCTGCGATTTGAGGAACTTACCACGTCAAGGACGAACTGGTGTGATGGTTATCAATGGTCTTGTCATCATAACAGTTCTGATTCAGTTTCTATGATATATACTCACGCCTACTATGTTGGAACACAGTTGCATCTCCGAGGTTTGGATGGATTAGAAGCTTTGGTTTTTGCTTTCCGTTTCTGGTGGTTTCTGTTATTAATGTTCCAAGGTTCTGCCAGAGTGGCCTTGTACCCTAAAACCGAAAACCCCAAATCCTCACACCCCACAGCCAAAAAGCGAGTTCCCCCCTAAACCGTAAGCCCTAAATCCCTAAGCCCTAAACCCCAAGCCCTAAACCCCTAAACCGTAAACCCTAAATCCCAAGAGCCGACAGCGCCAACCCTAGGCCCCAGGCCTTCGACCCGGAAGCCATAAATCCCTACTACGGTTGATGACATAAATCTTAGGGTACCTTTAAAGGGATCTATGGGGCTACCTTTAAGGGATCTATAGGGTTTTAGGGTTTAGGGATATACATAAATCCTGCATTACCCATAATAAGGAATATACCATAATTCCCATAGTTTAGGGTCCTTAAGGTAGTGCAGGAGTTATATCATCAACCGTACCCCAGGTTCTCCCCTGACCCGGACCCCTCGGGCAGGAACCAAAAGCCGCGTTGTAATGGAGGAATAATGTACCTTCGAAGTCGTTAGGGTTTGGGGGAGTCCCTCTTCAGCCCTATATACCCCAAACCCTCGACGTCTCCATGACACCCCTAAGCCCTGAACCCTCCTAGAACTCTATCCAAGCCCTGTAAAAAAGCGCAAATCCATCTCCCAGCACAGGGTTTGTCTGCGACAGGCATCTGTAGCAGAAGCCCCAAAGGCCCTAAACCTACTTAGGCTTAGGACGTCTAAGCTTTAGTGGGCGCTCCTTGAGTCTTAATAACCAAACCCAAAACCCTGGAAGGGTTTAGGGCTTACCTGTAGTCTCCATTGTAGATTCCTTTTTGGGGTTACTTTATATAGGATCCGTGTTAAATATTTCGTTAAACCAGAAAGGAACTACAATGGAGACGATAGGTAGAGTCACACCCCTTCATCCCCAGGCATTCGCGGCTGAAGCTTCTTGTAGTTTGGTCGCGCTTTGGCATCTGACGCTCGCCGGCAATCGCCAAGAGCCTATAACACCTGCAAAGTGTAAGGACATCCTGAGACCTAATCCGTGGACCTTGCAGGTTACGGCTTTCCAGACGCAAGTGTTTGAGTCCTCAAGTTTCGAAGAGTTAGTTTAGGGTTTAGGGGGCTGATATTATGAAGGCAAAAGGATTTTGGGTGTAGCACAGGAAACCGCCTCCGTAGACACAGTGCGCTCTGTGGGACCGGTACTCCGAAAAAGAACAAGTTGTTTTGTTTTATTGGGCTTCGGAGTACCATATTTCAATACTTTGTTGGGACCTGTAACTTCAAAGGATTATGAAATGAAAGTCTGTATTTTTCCTGATTACTTCAAAGCCCGAACGAGTTGTTTCGTTATAGGGTCTCAGCCCATTAAGCAAACAAAATAGCATCAGAATAAGGAGCCGTAATACATCATAGTATTGGTAATGCTTGTGAACCCTAGACCCTAAACCCTACAAAAACCTTCGGGCTCCTAATGTAGGCACTTCTTGAGACTATAAGGGCCTAAACAAGTACCAATACAATTTTGGGGCTCCTTAGTATAATTAGACTATAGTGGGCCCCCAAACCCTGTTCTAATTATTAAGGCCCTTACGTTATGTTACCCTTATACTATCCCTTATAACGGGAGCCCTATTATATTTATTATTGCCCTTACCTTAAGACATTAGGGAGTCTAAAGCTCCTCATCTCAATGATGCTATGTGCCCAAGGCCTCAGAAATTATTAGGGTTTTGGGTTTGGGGTTTGGGTATTGGTCTGGACAGTAAACTGAGGGGTTTCCATTTTCGGGGTTCTACACGGTTTATATAACGCTGGCTCTCTGTGCAGATACCGTTTTTTGTTTCAGGCCAGTACAACAGGGTTTCTGTATGGTAACTGCAGGGGCCAATGTCGTTTACAAGCTATGATATACACATTTATTATCGTAGGATTCAAAGCTTGTATATTCAGGCCCTCATTGTCCACCTTATGGTATCCCTTATAGAACCCTTGGTGCTTGAAAGGACTATCTATTGACGTTGCCTTGTGAATGGCGGCGTAGATGACACTGAACGGATGGAGACTTCTCCACAGCTCCACTTTTCTTGCATCGAGGAGCATATGAGAGCACCGTCGTTTCTTGGCCTGGCGGCCTACTCAGAGACTCCAATACACGTAGCCTGTAATTAAGCAATATACCTTAAACGGTAATAGGGTCTCTAATATGATTTAACAAATGTTCCTTAACGGAGTCTTTGGGTAAGTACCACTTCTACCATTATATGTTACAGGAGCCAAAGGCTTAGCTGTATGATAGGCAGACTTCCCTATGCCATAACATCACAGCTATATACCAAACATCCCGAACTTTCATTCTAATCTCTTCTTCCCTGAATTATTTCTGACCATATTGAGGATGGGCTCCGATCCCGCCAGCAGCAGTCGAGCCTGTGCAGCCTGCGCGGAGGCTTTAGCAACTTGGCCGGTCAGATCCCGAATAATGGTATAGTTTCAAGCACAATATGGTACCATGTAGACAATGTCGACGAGCCCTTCAGCTTCACTAGTTTTTCAATTGTCGGAATGAAAAGGAGTTAAGGCCAGCTAGGGTTCAGGAGTCAGATTACAGATCTTGTAATGAAGAGTGTCTGCTCAAGAAATCAGGTGCTGGGTGCCAGTGTCGCGCCGAAAGCGGCTTCGGCCAGCCCCACGCGGCTTGCGCAGCCTTCCGGTAGAAACTGTGTCTCTTTATTTCTGGCTTCCGACTGACACGCAAACCCTACAACCAGATCCTAACACCCAAAACACTATAAGGCCGAAACCCCCAAAGCCCAAAACCCAAAAAACCTACAGCTCTAAACCCAAAAGCCCACGAACCCTAAAGCCCTATAACCCTGAAAGCCTAAAGCACCCATAGACCCTCTATTTATTTTCGCAGGCTTTCCGGGACTGGAGGGATGGTCCCTGGTTGTCAGCTTTCTGTCTCAGGGGTTTAGGATGTCGGGGTCTATGGGTTTCGGGATTCAGGGGTTTAGCGTTTAGTGTTTAGCGCTTTGTTTCTTAGGGGCTGGGTAGGTATCCTTTAACCTTTTTGGTTGTGGTACATACATATATATATATATATATA